GGGGACAGAATCTCTCGACCTCTGAAAGGCACCCATCGGTGATCCTGGCTGAGTGCTGCATGGTTGTGGGGGGGGGGGGGTTCTGCCATGAATGACCCAGGAGCCCAGGAGCCATGCGGCCTGCCCTGGCCACCGGGGGCAACACAGCAGGCTCTCAGGCACACCTGCTGACAGAATTAAAAAACCCAAAAACCTGTGCCTGCCTTCTGAGGGTGATTCTCTGAGAGTCACCTGGTGTCCCATGCTCGAGTCTGATCGTAACTGCCCCCAGTCGGCACAGACCCCACAGGTGAAGTCCAAACAAAACTGCCTCCACTCCAGACACCAGCAGACGGGGGGGTCTCCTGCCTTTCCCCACTTCTGTCTGACTTGGCTGTAAATCCGGGGGTTCTCATAACCTCTCTTCAGGTTTGATGATTTGCTAGAATGATTCACAGAGCTCGGGAGAGCACTGTACTTCAGGTTGTGGTTTTATCATAAAGGGCACAACCCAGGAACAGCCAAATGGTAGATGCATAGGGTGAGTTCTGGAAGGGTCCTGGGCCTCTGTCCCTGTGGATTTTGGGTGCACCTCCTTCCTGGGACACCGGCCCAGCAGCCAGGAGGCTCCTCCAAACCCACTGGTGTTGGTATATAGGCAGGACGGATTGAATCACTGGCCATGTGACCGAACTTGACTTCCAGCCCCCTCCCTTCCTGAGGGTTCCAGCCCTCTTTTCATGTGCTGGTGTTTCCAGTGGGCCTGGCCCTCTCTTGAACCTGTCTGAGGGCACACCCCGAGTCACCGTGTCTCGTAACCTCAGGGGTGGCCAAAACGGGCTCCTTAACAAGGACACCCCAGTCACTCAGGAAATTCACAAAGCAGGGACAAAGACCAGACACAGTCGTTATTACCTGCTGGAACCACCCCTGTCAGCTCATCGGCCGGCCAGCCGGCCCTCGGCAGAGTGTGGCACCAAGTGGTCACCGGTTGCAGACGATGGTGGTAAAGCAGAAACGCCATCCAAGCTGCCCTCCCCCTGGGAAGCGGACCCAAGGACAAGGAGGGAGAGAGAGGTGGTTTAAATGAAACCAAGGTCACTTGAGACGGGCCACCAGCACCTCGGAGAGCACCGCAGGCTGGCCGTCTCCTGCAGGGACCCCAGTGGTGGCCGTGGCACGTGCAGACACAGTGCTGCCAGGACAATGCTCCTGCCGTGGCCGCCCCCCTGCCCATCGCCCACCTGGGAGAATGCAGGGTCGCCGCGGGGCGGGGCTGGTGGGTCCCTCCAGAGGCCACGGCTCTGGGCACTTCCTGCTGCATGTTTTATGACCATCTGGATGAAGATGTGGGAGACCTCTTACCAAATTTATAGTCAAAACCAGGAGGCAGAGCTAATCTATGGAAGAATCCAGATGCCGGACTATTTCACCAGGACTAAGCGAGCAGGATCCCATGTGCATCACAGAATGGAGGTGCTTTGAGGCGTGTCAAGATCGTCTTGTCCAAACCACCTGGTTTTACCAAAACGAGGTCCAGAGAACTTCCATAATTTGCCCAAGAGTTTGCAACAAGCCGTCCCCATGGAGGCTCAGAAGCACGTTGAATTCTGCACATCCACGTGTGGCTTCTTCTCCGGAACCGGGCGTCGGCCTTCACCTCCCTTCTGCTCCGGTGCTGCCGTTGGGGCAGCGTTACGGTGAATGCCTTCTATTTGTGCACAGCCTCTCGCGTGATGGTGTTAGAAGGGGGAGGGGAGGGGGGCGGGTGCTCGGAGGGGTTCACAGGTTATCTCACGAATCCTCACAGCTCGGTGAGGTGAGCACTGTCATCGCCCCACATGAGGACCCTGAGGTGTGCGGACCTCAGTCCGTCGGTGCAAACCGAGGTTTGGCCTTTGATGCGTCCAGCCCCACGTGAGCTTCCCCGTGGGGTGGCAGGGGGATGGCACACTGGCGAATGGACACGGGTCAACAGCGGGTGTCTCAGATGTGCTGAGCACCATGCCCCCCAGCGCGCACCTGCTACGGTGACGGTGCCATCTCTGGGCCTCTTCCCCTCCTCTCCTGGAGAGAGGCGCGTCTGCGAGTCCGAGGTGGCCTCTGGGCACACAGCAGATGTGCAAAGTCCCGCGGCCTGAGCTCCCTCAGCCTCAGATGAGCTCATTAAAGGTTGTCATCCACAAAAAGGAAACAGTGACCAGACGTGCCGCGTCTAGAATCTGGTTGCACGGAGCATGCGTCTGGTGAGTTTTACCAAATAGCCTGCTGCCCTGTGCACATGGGCGAGGTCGGCAAACCCTGTCGCTACAGACTTACCGGCCGGGTGGACGCCACTCGTGCTCATGTACGCAGGCCATTAGCGGTTCAGCTGGACAAGCTCAGCAGCAGTCAGAGGGCAGAGGGAGCCAGGAGCCAGGGAGCCGCCCCTCAGAGTGAAGGGACCCCAGCACCGCGGCCCAGACTTGGGGACCCCTGCTCTGCGGGAAAGGCTGGGCAGGACCAGGCCCTTCTCAACCTATGCACTTGACCTGGAAGATTTCCCAAAGCAGGGTGTCGACCTGGCGAGGGGTCTGCCATGCGGCAAAACTCTTTCCGGATGAGGGGCCTTTCCCACCCACCCGGCCAGCAGGACCTGTGGGCACCAATTACCGTGTCCTTGGGGTTTCTGCCTCTCGTCCCTGGTGATTTGGCCTGAAGCTAGTTGTATCCCAAGTACTAGAGTTTGCTTTTTGGTAAAGGTACAACACTCATTCAGCCATGAGACTATTAAAAATATATTTAGCAAGTTTGCATTACTTTTGACCAATTCTAATTGAACCGATAGCTTCACAATATGGAAGGCACCCAGCACCTCTGAACAAAGTATTGTGTTGAGTGAGCAGTAAAATGTGATCATTGCTGGGCTTACAACGTTCCTATTAATCTTATTTCAAGTTACAATACGTGTCTTGTTTCCACACTTCTATTTTTAACTAATGAAAATTTATTACAAAGAACTCCTAATTATACCCTTTGGATTATGATACAATTGCAAATCCACTGGTAATTTGCTTTTTCTTGAAATTCCACATAATCACATAAGCAGCAAAGAATGTAAGTTCTCCTGAAATAGTTGGTCTATAAATAAGATTCCCTAATGGGCTGAGCCAATGTTTTTTCTTTTTTTTCCCTTCGCACATTTTGTATTAGGTTGGATTAAGCCATAGCACGACCCTGGTGAGTGTTAGACATAGAACGTTGCATATTCTTGGCACATCCTGAAGCCGGTAACTAATGGATTTCCGCGGTATCTTGGATAGACAGTGATGGAAAAAGCAGGTGTCAGGAGGCAGGGACCACCTTGGTCCCGGCCACTAAGTGATGGTATGACCTTCAGTGGGCCTGCCCACCTCCTCCCCAAACACGTGGATGGTGGAGATTTGCCGGACAAGCCCTCGCGGGCATCTGTCCTGTGCGAGGCAGGGCATTTAGCAGCGCGTCCGGCCTCTACATCTCCAGGTGCCAGCAGCGCCTCCCCGGCAGCGATAACCACCAATGTCTCCAGGCACCGCTGGGTGTCCCCCAGGAGCGCAGTCCCCTTGGGGGGGCACCATGCCACACCTGTGTCAGGAAGCCCCTCCCTGTATCTGGCGTAAGTGACTCTCACTGACTAACTCCCAGGGTAAGGCTGGGTTCGCAAAGAAGCAGGGACATGCCATGCTCTTGAGGGGCACATCCTCTGCTCTGACGTCTCCATGTAGGTGCTGGTGGGCCGGCAGGAGGTGCTGAGTCCAGGCGCCTCCCAGGGGACTTCTCTTTACAGTTGCTGGTCTAACCTGACCAAAGCGCATCAGAAGTGAAGGTTCTCTGAACCGGGGGGTCTCGGGACACAGTGGATTTGCACCCGTCCTTGCGGGAGTCACTGGCCGTGGGACCTGACTGTGGGGAAGCGTGGGGCAGGGTGGGCCAGAAGGAGGCCCAGCAGAGGGTTCCGGGGGGGTCAGAGCGCGTGGCTCTCCAGGCCGGGGCAGGGGGAGAACATGCCTCAGGGCAGAGCCCAGGCTGTGAGGCGGGGCAGGCGCGGCGGCTGGCCAGGCTTGTTCCCATCGGGGGACAGAGGGTGAGAGGGGCATCGCGACAGAGCCATGTCTGCTGTTCCCTGAACATCTTGCAGCAACGAATGCTCAGGTGTTTGGGAAGCAGGTTCCCAAATGCTGCTGGAATGAGTTGTGGACCCGAGAGCACCATCGAGCGGCCGGGTGTGTAACAGAAGGCAGGTGCCGGGTTGGTGCTTCGCGAGAGTGGGCTCTTTCTTTCCTCTCAGCCGCCAGCCTGGTAAAGGTGGCTTGTTGGATCCCCTGGTGCCCGCCGGGCCCTGGCTTGTGCCCGCTGCGTCTGGCCGGTGGCTGTGGGCCGGGGGGAACCGGAGGGAGGGAACAGCTCCAGGGCTTGCGGGCCCCACTCTGCACCGATCGCTGCGCAGACTGCCTGGGGTGGGGGTCGAGTTCCCCCTGTTGTCACTGAAATCTCCCTGTCTGTCGGGCTAGACCCCGGGACGGCGTTTTCTGTACGCAGAGTGTCGACGGGTTGGTCTCCGGTAATTGTCTTCCTGCATTTGTCCAAAAGGAAGGTCTTCCCTGAAACGAAACAAACCCAAACAACAGGAAGAGAGCCAGGTGTGGGCTCCCGTGGTTTGTCAGATGGAAAGGCTTCTTCACCTCCTCTGACGGCCGGGTCTAGGCAGTGAAACGGTGACTCTGGGCTTCCTCCCACCTCGTGGGCCCTCGCACGCACCCACCGCTGCCTTCGCTCCCTGCCGGCGCCCCTGGGGTCAGGGTCTCAGCCTCAGCTCTGCCCCAAACGCAACAAAGCAGTCTTCGCCCCAGAGCAAAAATCGCCACCTTTGCTGGGCTGCCTGCACCAGGCTTTGAAAGGTTCTCAGAGTGTCTGCTTCTTAAAGAGTTTCCTGGGGGACTTTTAGGGGTTGGCAGGTGGGTCTCCGAGGGCACGGCTAACTGTCTGTGTCTCGTGCCCTAAAGGACAGAAGGCCGCGCGAGTCCTGGGCCAGAGGAGGCAGAAGGAGTGGACAAGGACACCAAGACGCCACCTCCCCAGATCCTGCTGCCGCTGGAGGAGCGGGTGACCCACTTCCGAGATATGCTCCTGGAGCGAGGGGTAAGGAACCGCTTCGGAGACGTGCTCCTGGAGCGAGGGGGGCGGGTCCCGAATGCAGATCACGGCTCCCCTCGGAAGCCAGTCAGCGAGCGATCTCCCCCGCGGCCCGAGGGACGCTTTTCCTCCCGCACTGAGTGCAGGGCATCGGGCTGAGTGAAATTCAGGTGCCAAAAGACTTGAGGCTGAAGCGACATGAAAAGGGGCCCCTGCTTCTGGTCTTGAGGGCTGTGGTTGTCGCCCGGCCCCCTCCCCGCCGCTCATGCCGGCCCCGGAGAGGCGGGTGGGGGACGGGCACTGGCGTTGTGTACGGACAGCACCTGTGTTGGTAAGCTTCCTGCTGCAGCCCGGCCAGGTCTCGGGGTCCGTGCCCCCCAGAGGGGCGTCCCCTGTTCTAACTTGGACAAGCCGGGACTGTCACACCTGTGGATCCGTTCAACTATTTTTAGTAAAATGAGGATGTCTTCATTATAGTTGACTTGTGAACCTTGTTTTGAATTTAAGAGAGAAACATTTTAGAACCAGATCTCCTTCCAATGACTTTTATTTCCAGCTTTGGCTCTTGGGTATAAAATGAGTCAGCTCTAATAGCCCAGTTGGGCTTCTTCACAAAATGAGGCTGAACGCGGTAGCGGGGGCCCTGTGTGGTGGTGACGATCACGGACACTCTGGTGGCCTTGGGAGGCCTGGCAGAGGGAGCAGATTGCCTCCCTGGTCGATCGCTGTCCCCAGGCCGCCTCCTGGGCCGGCCCCTCCCAACAGCAGGTGCCGCGGGCCCTGAGGCCGGGTGTCGGGAGACCCCACCTCCCCCGGAGCGGGAGGTCGAGCAGGGCTCCCCAGAGTGAGGCTGGCATGAGGCCCTGGTGATGCAGGGCGACTGGGGCCTGTCAGCTTTAAGTGTTACAGGTAGGAGGCAGGTGGTCCACAGCGGGGGGCCTCTCTTCCTTCGCACAGTGGGTTTTAATGTCTGCATCACTTCATCGGTCTTGTCATTCACTTACAAATGAAATACAGCCCTTGGCCTGGAGGGCCTGGAGGGCCTGGAGGGAGAAGTCGCCTCATGAAGTCAAAACTGCGGTGGGGTGTGCGAAGCCCAAACTGGCACGGATGCGAGGTGACACGGCCGTGCCGGGAGGGGCGCTGGGGGCACAGGCCCGTGGGGGCCGGCCTGTGTGCGCTAATGACGATGGGTTACTTGAACAGACGCGATGTTCAAACCTGCATGTGTTGGGCTGAAATTTTATCTTCAAAAGGACGTCAGTTCCTGCCTCCCCACGCAAACAATTTTTTCAAGACGTTGAGACCCTTTGGGGAACAAATCCTGCCATGTGCAATGGCCCGGGGAGCAGTGGGCCCCCTGCTCCCGCCCAGGCGGCTGCGTATCTCCGACGGGACAGGGAGAGACCCGCTGAGCCGGGACAGCCCTCACTGGGGCCTCGCTCTGCTCTCGGCCTCGTCCTGCACTCTGCTCAGCTGGGCCCGCTGGGGACGTGGGCCTGCGGGCTGCTTCCCCTTCTTCCCGGGGGGTCCCGGACGCTGCCAACAGAATGTTTATGCCGTCACTGCCACCCTTGGAGCTGCTCGGGTTGTGACGGTCCGGCTGGCCTCATGGCCCAGTGTCACCACCCTGCCCTGTCTCTGCCCTGCCCTGCCCGCCTTCCACTCTCGCCTCAGGTCCCCTGCCCTGCCGCCCGTCCCCTGGCTAACACAGGATGCCAAATGACTGTCCTGTGTCCCTTCCACATTGTCCAAGCTGCCGTGAGAGGCCTCAGCTCCTGAGGGTCGGGACTACCTGATGCTCCCTTGGGTCCCCAGGGCCTGGTGTGCAGCAGGCGCTCAACGACCTCCCGAGATTCCCTCAGTGTCCACGTGGACGCCATCTGGGACTGGGCTGTGGTGTTGCCGCATGTGCCCCCTGACCCGCTGGTCCTGGAGCCCGCCCGCCGAGCCCGTGACGAAGGGGCTTATCTCTGAAGCACCTGTCATTCCCCGTTCTGTTCTCTCCACGAGCATGGCCACCAGGCGTCTGCAGGACAGGTCTCGGCATCACTCGGGAGAAGTGATAAAGCATACTCCTCCCCCTACAGAATCTCCAGAATTAGGTGCTTCTGCTCTGGAGAGCCATAGGCGTGGACGCTCCTGAGGTTTGTCTCTAGTCTCATTAGGCGTTGATCAACACGCGGGTGGCTGTCTGCCCTTGTCACGCACAGAAATATATGTAATTCTTAGTGTCTGGATCGACCTGGCCAGTCTGTTCCTGTTGACCCAGCCAGCAGGAGACGTGACCCCTCTTCCCTGAGACGTGATGGCATTAGGAGCCTTTGAGAAATGGAGGCAGGAACGTATTTTATCTCGTCTGCACGTCCCCCTCTTTGTTTGGGAAACCAACCAGCCCGGCCTCACCAGCACAGCATCAGACCGACCCCCGGGAGAGCCCAGGGCTGCCTGAGACACCTACCTGTGTTTGCTAAGCCTGCCGGCAGGCCAGGGCTGTGTGGTTTCTTGAATTTATCCCAGTGGCTGTGGTCGAGCAGCTTTACTAATGAGATTTTCACTACGCTCTTGCCTCACCGAGGTGGGTGATTCCTTTCGGCCTTTGATTCGTAGATTCTTCTGCGTGAGAACCTTGTGTAGGTCGTGTAGATGTGAATCAGCAAAACAACACAGAAATGCCAAGTACCCACCCGGAGTTCTGAGTTTTCCCTGGAAAGAAGAGACCTGGGTGAAGCCTGAACCCCTGTCTTAGGAGGATTTTGCAAGAATCCCACATGCAGCTCATGAATAGGAAAGATTAATCTGAATTTACTGCTGATGTCATAAAGCAATGCCACCATTTATGGCTTTTTGACTTTATAAAATATGCCAGCATATTTTATAAGTTACTCAGTGCTCAAGAGAATTTGATAGCTAAGCCCATAAGATTTCCTGTTGCTTGAAAATGAGGCACAGAAAGGTCACTTTTTTCATGGACTGAGTGATTAATAATGTTTTTTTATTGCATTTGTACAATGCTTCAGTCCAGAAATTCATGTACTTATGGAACGATGGAGCTAGGTCCTGTGGGTTTCTCGTAGTTTAACAAGGGCATGTTTGGGGTTTTTCCGTGGGGATCACAGATTGGGGAAGGGCCTGTGGCTTTGCGTGTTTGTAGTATGTATCTGACGGCTCAAGGAAGGTTTTATTTTTGTTTTGCTTTACTGTATAAAGCACAGTACAGCCTTAAAAAAAAAGAAAAAAAAAAAAAACTTCAGCGTATGAAGGGGCAGGTCTCGTCAAATAGCAGATTATTAATGTGATCCCTCCTATTCAGGCAAATGTATTAGAAGCATTTTATTGAGAACATCTTCCTCCTGCAAAGTATCCCTTAGAAGTGGGTACGGCTGGGGCACCTAGCCATAGGACGCTGGGGTTAAGTATCCGACTTCGGCTCGGGTCATGATCTCACAGCTGGTGAGTTCGAGCCCTGCATCGGGCTCTGTGTCAACAGCTGGGAGCCTGGAGCCTGCTTCAGTTGAATTTGATGAATAAACATTAAAAAAAAAAAAAATATGGCTTTCCAAGGGCCTTTGGAGAGTCTCAGATCCTACCTTAGGGACTCCACGGCCCAGACCTGCTGTGTTCTCTGGGGTCTCTGTGTGGGTGACCCTCGGCCAGCTTCCCGGCGGTGAGTGGCCTCAGGGATACTGGCTGGCATGGTGGCTGACTGTGGAGCTGAGCTCCGTGGAGTTGGGATCCGAGTCTGTTAGAGAGAGGAACTCAGACCACGCGTTCACACCCACGGGCCATGCCAATCTCTCTCTGCACTGAGTCGCCGTCCACCATGACAAGGTTGCCGTAAAGTAGCAGTACTGGGTGCCTCTGGCTAACAGGGCAGCGGGGGAGGCCTTCTCCCGGCAGCAGGAAGCGCCACCTTGCTTCCCTCCCCGTGAGCCGTGTCTGGCGCCCCTTCTCTCAGACACGCACATGGTGCTGCCTCCGGACGCACGCGGGAGGGCTCCGTCATCCTCATGACCAGCGGCCGACGTAGGCGAGACGGCCCTGGAGGCGACGCGTCTCAGGTACCTGTGTGAGTCCCAGCCCGGACACCTGCGGTGTCTGCTCCTCGTGGACCTATGGCAAGTCTGTGGACCCCGCAGGGCACACGTCACACCAGTAATAACACAGTGTCCTGCTGCACAGTGACGTGTGCATGGAAAGAAAATTTGCAAAAAAGAATATCTAATTCACCCCAAGTCCTCTCTGTCCTAAGAGATCATTATTTTCATTGAGATACATTTCTTTCCAGTCTTTCGTTTCTAAAACTAGATTTAAAAATATCAATAATAAGTATTTTTGTCTTAGAACATAACCAGGATTGACCTGTAGTTGAACATCGTTCAACCGAACATTCTGATGTAGTTGATTTTATGAGGTTTAACCTACTTATAAATTTGTGTACTGTTTTTCCTTTTTAAGCATTAAAATTAAAAAAAAAATTTTTTAACGTTTATTTATTTTTGAGAGACAGAGAGAGACAGAGCATGAGCGGGGAAGGGGCAGAGAGAGAGGGAGACACAGAATCCGAAGCAGGATCCAGGCTCTGAGCCGTCAGCACAGAGCCCGACGTGGGGCTCGAACTCACGAAACGTGAGATCATGACCTGAGCCGAAGTCGGACACTCAACCGACTGAGCCACCCAGGTGCCCCAAGCGTTAAAAAATTTTTCAATGTTTATTTATTTTTGACAGAGAGAGAGAGAGAGAGAGAGCGAGCGAGCGAGCATGAGCGGGGAGAGGCAGAGAGAAAGAGGGAGACACAGAATCCGAAGCAGGTTCCAGGCCCTGAGCTGTCAGCACAGAGCCCGACGTGGGGCTCGAACTCACGGACCATGCATGCAATCATGACCTGAGCCAAAGTCAGATGTTTAACCAACTGAGCCACCCAGGCACCCCTTTCCAGCATTTTTAAAAAGCATTCATATAATCCTTTGGAAAACACTTGGATGAGGTCATAATATTCAATTT